TGTTGCCCTCAACCACTTAGGTTAGGGTTAGGGAAGCAAAGTCAATCTCACCAGCAAGTAGAATCCGCTCTGATACCAATGTTATGACCCTGGCCAATTGCGAGATACACATCCACTGAAAAGTACAATGCCATCCAATTGCAGAAAGAAATGAATGAACTTGAGAGGAGAGAGAGGAGTAGAAGAAGAAGAAGAAGCAAGAAGTAAGAAGAAGAAGATGTACACCAGCAAAGATAATGACAAGGCTTTTCTTCCTCGCCTAACAATCTCCTCCTCCGTATCTCCCTCTTCTCTTATTCACACAAGAAATAATAATACAATGTTGAATGACTGGTCCAGAATCATGTCCGAGTCCCTTTTCTACTGCAGGTATCACTCATGGTCCACCATAGCCATGGCCGCCTCCCACACTCTTCACACTCATAGGCCGAGGCTATGGCGGACTACTAGGGCTTGCTCCGATGTCCAAAGGACAAACCAAAGAAGCTATGGCTGCTCCAGCTCAGGCCGCCATGCCCAGCCCTGCCTTGAAGCTTCTTGGTGTAGCTCCCCCCGGCTGGGGACACCTTGCTGCAGCGCCCACCAAGGTGATGAAGATGGCTGCCACCATAGCCAGGTAAGTACCCCTGGCGCTCCTCCCCCTTCCTCCTTCCTTCCTCCTTCTTCCTCCCTCTAGTCCTTCTTCTTCCTCCCCAGCAGCGCAGCTCCAGCCCAGCGCTGCTCCCTCCAGCGCTCCACCAGTGTGTCGCCAAACTTGCACACCGAAAAAGAGGCCGGGTCTTCCGCCCGGCCGGAAGATATAGTGGCCTGCTTTGCCTATCGGGCGGTGACTTCCAGGCCGCTGGCCTTCCCAAGCAATTGGTACCTCCTCCTCTTTTGGAGGGAACATCATTGCAGACTCTGATATTGCCCCTACAGGCCCTAGACTCAGACTGGTACCCGCTAGACCTAGCCTACACTACCGGCATCTAAAAATGCCACTTTTGTCTTCTTCTGCTCGGCCTCTGGTACCTGCATATTTACCCCCCTGCCGGGTGCGGTACCGGCCTACCCGCTACTTGAGTGCTTTTTCCCCCCTGCAACCCTTCAAAGCCACGGCCACAGGTAAGTACCGGCCCTGAGGGCCCGACGAACGAACAAGTGCCCTGGCGGGCCACACACACACTCATACCAACCAGCACTCAGACAGGCACAGTCACACACAGGCAAGCCAACCAGCACTCAGACAGACCTGCAGTCCAGCAAGCACACACACACACAGACTTAGCAGGCGGGGAACTCAGTAGGGCATTCAGTCTATGAGCAAAACTCAGAAATCAGCTGTGTGTTTCAGTCCGGGGTTATCACAATTTGGCATTTTGCAGATAAGAACATAGCTGGTGGGGTGTTTTACTTTTTGAGGACGGGG